ATAATGTATATATAAGATTGTGATATTATAATGTGTGTGTATATATAAGAAAATTATTAAACTGTATGACAGTGATGTGATATATATATAATTAATAAAAATGTATCAATGACTGTGAGTTTTGCAAAACTTGCCTTAAGAGTATTTTATTAGTGTTAATGTTAACCCCACCAATACACTGAACCATGTGTTCAGCTTTAATGGCTGTACTCCTAAGATTTACAGAGGAAAAAATCGTGAGAATGAGTTTAGTATTCAGCTCTGACTGATTCAACCACAGATACTTCATTGCTCCTGACAAACAGGTTACAATGAGTGGAGCGGTCGACCGTTCCAAGATGGCGGCTCTATGCTGTATCTAGTGTTTATATGATATCTATGGGTGTACTTGCAGCCAAGGCGCTGCTGAACTTCCTCGTCCTGCAAGAGGAGGAAGAGGGCGGGCGTGACGTCGCCATCCGCAGACAGGAGGCCGGCACGGTGGGGGGAGCGTGGCGGAGGAGGGCCGCTGCATGATGCTGCAGAGCTCACGGCCCAAACACACGAGCAGCCGAGGATTGGAACAAGCACAGCAGCTTCTCGAGGACAACAGACGGGCAGAAGAATGCGGCACGGGCCGCAGAGCCCCGCGCTGACGTGACTGTGTCCCCTGAAAGCATGAAAGCACGTCCCTGTCTGGGAGAGGGGGACATGTCATCGCTAACGGCGGAGGAGGACCAGAAGTGGGTACCAACACACGTTCAGGTGACGGTGCTGAGGGGCAGGGGCTTACGAGGCAAGGGCAAGCACGGCACCAGCGATGTGTACACCATCATCCAGCTGGGGAAGGAGAAATACTCCACAGGCGTGGCGGAGAAGACCACCGAGCCCGAGTGGCGCGAGGAGTGCTCGTTCGAGCTGCAGCCCGGGGGGCTGCTGGAGGGCGGACACCCGGCCGGGACCACCGAGCTGGTCCTGATGGTCATGCACCGGGCGCTCATAGGGCTGGACGTGTTTCTGGGTCAGGCTGTGATCCAGCTGGATAAAGTTTTTCAGGAAAGCAGATGCGTAAAAAACGAGTAAGTTCAAGTGTTTGCATGGGCTTGTGTGTCCAAAACCTGCACAAATATGCTCCGTCTGCTTGTTTTGATGTTTTCTCCTCTTTGAGCCCATCAGGGTGGTGGTTGTGGGACATAAACAGAGCTGTCAGATGTGTGGTGCTGCATCAGGGCCCTGCAGACACACCCTCCTGCCCCACTAACTCACATCACATCCACCCTCCACTCCACAATTTACAAGGCCCCTTAAATGTTTTTCTCCCATGTCTGAGCAGGGAGGAGGCAGATTAATGTCTGTCCCAAATCCAGGGATTAACTAACAGTTTCAGGGTTCCAAAGCTACAAGGTATTTTTAGCCGGACATGTTATGACAAAAGCATAACAACCACAAAAGTTGGAAGGATGGTCAACAACCCCATGGTGACATTTAAAACCTTTAGTTTGTGATGTGTTTACAGTTTTTTAAAGTCTCTCTCCATTTTGTCAATTTACAACCACAAACTTTAAAGTACTTTACTTAGATTTGATGTGATCGACCAACGTAGAACGTAAATATAAAGGGAAGGGAAATAATCCATGGAGTTTAAATACTAGAGTCCACCGGTGTGTATTTTGATCTTCTTGCTGTTCTGTGAAGGACTCCGAGATGTTTTACAGAACACAAGTGATAAAACGTAATCATGAAGACCAAGGAACACACCAAACAGGTCAGGGATAAAATTGTTGAGAAGTCTATTAAAGAGTACACCAAGATTTGAACGTCTCTTGGAGCTCTGTTCAGTCCATCATCTGAAAATGTAAAGGCACGACTGCAAACCAAACAACACATGGTTGGAGAGAATTAATCTGAGAAGCAGCCAAGAACCCCCACAGTAACTGTGGAGGAGCTGCAAACACCCACAGCTCATGTGGGACAATCTGTCCACAGAACAACTATTAGTTGTGCTCTTCACAAATGTGGCCTTTATGAAGGAGCAGCAAGAAGACAGCTATTGGTGACAAAAAGCCATTTGAAGTTCTGTTTGCAGTTTGTCACAAACCATGCAGGCACAGTCGATGTGGGCCAGACAGGACCAAAACTGGACTTTTTTGCTTGAATTCAAAACACTATTTACGGGGTGGAAAACTAACTCTGCACATCACTCTGAACACAGTCTTCACTGTGAAACATGGTGGTGGCAACATCATGCTGTGGGCATGCTTTTCTTCTGCAGGCTTTTTTTTTTACTGAAGAAAACCTATTACGATGTAACAAATTTGATACGGGTGGAGGTTCACCGTAGAACGACAACCTAAAACCTCAATGGAATGGTTCAGATCAGAACATGTTTCTGTGTTAGAATGGACCAGTCAAAGTCCAGAACTAAATCCAATTTAGAATCTAGCAAGACTTGAAAACTGTTTGTAGAAGCTCTGCATCCAGTCTGACTGAGCTTGAGCTGTTGTGTGAAGAAGAGTGAGCAACAGTTTCAGTCTCTACATGTGTAATGCTGGTAAAGACAAACCTCAAAAGACTTGCAACTTTAATTAGAGCAAAATGTGGTTCTACAAAGTTTGGATTCAGAGGAGCTGAATACAAATGCACAACTAACTTTTGAGATTTTTTGGAAAAAAAATGGACATCCGTGGAAAAATTCCTTCCACTTCACAGTTATGCTCCACTCTGTGTTGGTTCAGCTTATAAAGTCCCAGTAAAACACTTTAAAGTTTATGGTTTTAACTAGACTAAATGTGTTGTAATACTTTTCCTAGGTATTCTATGTGGACATATTTTACTGAGAGATGTGTTTCTTTAGGGCCTACATGTCCTCAAATAGGTGACAGTAATACGTTGTATGTAGAATTAGTGAAGTAGAACAGAATCCAGGAAAGGTGGGCGTCGGGTGAATTCCCCTGCAGGGTCTGACAGGAGGAAGCTTCAGAAACGCTGTCAGTTAAGCATACGTAGCAAGTCAGTGGTTTGAACAGTTTCAGCTAGCAAATCTTATTAGGCTAATGTTATTATAGCCTAACACCGAAGGGTGATAGTGTTCTTACATGTGTTTGGGTCTGTCATGTTAGCAAAATATCTAATTTTAATGAAGTCCTCAGAAAGTAATCATTGAGAGTACACCTACAATTAATTAACATTTGAAGTTAATGCAATTCAAGATGGCCACCACAGCCAACTGAATTAGAAAACACATAAATGACTGCAACTCAGTACATTTTTACAGATGTGAAGCTGAAATTTGGTGGCTCGGGACATGCGGCTATCTGATTTGACTGGCTGGGTTTGAGGGGACAGGAAGGAGGACATGTAAACCAGAGGACAGATTTTTTTTAGAGACTTTCAAAAAGTTACCATGATACCCCTTTTTTCCTCATTGCCCTTTTTGGAATGCTAAAATTTAGTGTGGTAGTAGCTGAGAGTCATGAGCCCCATACACTCTGAGCCCTAACATATTTCACAGTTGCACAGGGTATCATTTAAGGTTTGCCTAAAATGTCTACAACTCCCACAGTCTCCGTTATACAATATGTCCACAGGAAGAAAACTTGTTTAAGGCATGATAAGTCACCATCTCTCAGCTGAGTGAGGCAGAAACTGTGTCTGTGTGCAATGTGATGCTTCTGCCAAAACAAAATGGACATCACAGGTTATATAAGAACATGTTCTGAAAAGGCAATCTGGAAAATAGAAGCATAGCCCTGTTCTGCAAGCTCGTACAGTGAAGATTTATAAGATTAATTTAATAGACATCATTCAGAAAGCATAATTCAGCAGCCAATATTTGTCTCATTCCTACAAAGCTGTGTCCCTAAACCATGAAGACAAAATACACTGCCTGGCCACCCCCCCCCCCCCCCCCAAAAAAAATAAAAAACCAACAAACTTGCCACCAAGTAAAAAGGTTGCACACTAATATTTCGTTGGACCGCCTTTAGCTTTGATTACATCATGTATTCACTGTGTCATTGTTTAGATAAACTTCTGCAATGTCACAAGATCTATTTCATCCAGTGTTGCATTAATTTTTCACCAAGATCTTGCATTGATGACTAGGCACTAAGCATGATGGGTGCATCACTTCACCTGCCTCTCTTCTTACCCTGATGTGCTCATCACTCTGGAACAGGGTCAGTCTGGACTCATAAGACCACATGACGTTCTTCCATTGCTCCAGAGCCCCATGTTTATGTTCCCTAGTAAATTGAAGCATTTTTTCCAATTAGCCTCACTGGTTAGTGGTTTTCTTAAGGCTACACAGCTGTTCAGTCCCAGTCCCTTGAGTTCCCTTCACATTGTGCGTGTGGAAATGCTTTTACTTTGTTGTTTTTCTTCCATTTGATTTCACCAAACAATAAGTGATCACCAATCATGATCATTCAGGATTTTTTTCCAGCCACATTTCTTCCTCGAAGACGATGGGTCCCCACTATCCTTCCAGTTTTTAATAATGTATTGGACAGTTCTTAACCCAGTTTTAGTAGTTTCTGCAATCTCTTCAGATGTTTTATCTGCTTGATGAATGCCAATGATTTGACCCTTCTCAAACAGACTGACATCTTTTCCATGACCACGCCACGAGTCATTAGACATGGTTGTTTAAGAAACGAGAAGCAACTCATTGCACCAGTTGGAGTTAAATAACTTGTTGCAGCTGAAAGATAATTGTCCATGCAGTGATTATCCAACAGGAGGCTCATACCTGTTTGCTTAGTTAAACCCAGGTGGCAACTTTCGTTTTGGCCAGGCAGTGTATATTAGCACCATTAAAAATTCCGCCCCCCCCCCCCCCCCCCAAAAAAAAAGAGAAGAAGTGGGTAAAAGATAATGGATGGATGGACTATCCATCCATCCATTATATCCTGATGCATACTCAATAATCCAGGTAGAAAAATCGAAAAAAGTTAAATCTCGTCCTCTGGATATTCAAAAAACAAAACAAAGCAAAACAAAACAAAAAAAGTAGAAACGTTTCATCTTTCATCCGAAAGACTTCATCACTCTGAGGTGCTGTATTCAGCTCAATCTTATAAATAGCACCTTCTCAGAGTGGATCAACCAGTTTTGCTGCTGACAGGTGATCAGTTTAAGATTAAAATCAGACACCACTCTGAGCAGCAGGACCACACTTTCCACAGAACAACTGTGTCAACTCTTGAAACTGTGCCTGCAGTCAACCTACTTCACATATGGGGAGCAATATTATAAGCAGAAACATGGGTGTGCTATGGGGTCTCCAGTTTCTCCTATTGTTGCCAACCTGTACATGGAGGAGGTAGAAAAGAGAGCCTTGACGTCCTTTTCAGGGACACCACCAAGTCATTGGTTCAGGTATGTTGACGACACCTGGGTTAAAATCAAATCTCAGGAAGTCCAACATTTTACTGACCACATCAACTCTGTGGATAAATACATCAAGTTCACACGAGAAGATGAAAAAAATGGCAAGTTGGCTTTCTTGGACTGTGAGGTCTCAGTCTCTGATAGAGGACATTTGCAAACTGAGGTGTACCGCAAACCCACCCACACAGACCAGTATTTGCAGTTTGACTCCCATCACCCTTTGGAGCACAAGTTAGGAGTCATCAGGACTCTGTATCACAGAGCAGACAGCGTCCCCACTAGCTCAGAAGCCAGGCAGAAGGAGAAATCCCACACAAGACAGGCTCTAGAGCAATGTGGATATCCTAACTGGGCCTTCCTGAAAGCAGAGAAGAAACCCAAACAGGACTCCAGTCAGCCAACAGGTGAAAAGGAGGAACCCAGACCAGTGGTCATTCCATATGTTGAGGGAGTATCAGAGAAACTGAGACGTTTATTTTCTAAACATAACGTCCCAGAGGCTTTTAAACCCCAAAATACATTACAGCAAAGACTGGTTCATCCCAAAGATCCAGTCCCCCGGCACAAACAGAGTAATAATGTGTATGCTGTTCAGTGTCAGGAGGGCTGTGATCAGTCTTACATCGGGGAAACTAAACAGCCACTGGCCAAAAGGATGGACCAGCACAGATGTGCACATCCTGGATAG